GTAGAATTGTGGATTATGGATACTGTATTGTCTTTGCACATCTTTGCATCATGTGCAATTATCAAAATTAAAGAGAAGCATTTAGCAATTTGTTCTAATAACAGTCATTTTGTACCAAGAAGTGGCTGGGGGGTCATTTCCTTCTGAGGACTGTCCAGTTTAGCTCACTAGTGGATCCTCAAGCCTAGCTTAGGACCTGGCACTTAGCACTGTGTTAATGAATATGTCCTCTGTGGGTGATATAATAATATATATTATATATAATATATATTATTATATTTAATATATATTATTATATATAAAATATAATATATAAATAATATAATTTATTTACTTCTACCCCATGTGTGAGTGGAAGTAAATAAATTATATTATTTTTAATTAATAGACAAAGAAACTAAGGCACAGTAAAATTCTCAGATGATTAAGGAAATTACCTAAAGTTTCTATCTAGGATCCCTTCTGCACATACTCTCTCCCCTGACTATCTCATTCTGCTTTGTTTTTTCACAGCAAGATCACTGTGTGCAATATAAATCTATGTTTTCTTTTCCTTTATAAAATTTTACGCCCTATTACCATCAAAGTGCAAGTCCAATGAGAATAGGAACTTTTCTGTCTTGATCACTTCTGTGTTCTTTTGAATAGAAGAATGCAGATGAAAATTACAAAAGTGTGTGAAGGGAGCCAGCTAGAATTTAGATGTGAAAATTAACTGTGTACTTCATAGATTTCTTCCAGAGTAGAAGATGCCTCTTTGTTGAAAAAGTTTTTTTTTTTTTTTCAGATGGATACAACACAATGCCCTTATTTTTAAGAGGTGCTGAGGATCGAAACCAAGTCCCGCCTGTGCTAGGTGAGCACTCTACCGCTGAGCCACAATCCCAGCCCAGAAAAAGTTCATGTTCGGCTGGGAGTGTAGTTAGGTGGTAGAGTTTGTGTAGAGGTACTTATTCCCACCGGAGGAAAAGCAGATCAGAATCCGTATTCCAACTGAGTTCAAAGTCTGAAGGGGTCTGATTGGATAGATTTCCATTTTTTTTTCCTGGTTTGATCCCCAATACACACACACACACACACACACACTCTCTTCTGTTAAATGTTCTACAATATTAAGATGAGAAACTATCTAGCTTGGGAAAGAATTTTAAGGTTTAAAAAAATACAAGTAAACCATAAGTTTACTATAGTTTGAGGAACTGTTTCAACATCAAATGCAGAATGGACACCTATATAAATCTGGGAATAATCATCTTCAAAGAAACAAAATAATATTTTTCATTTTAATTGATACAAAATACTCAGACTATCATACAAGTCGTTTGAGTTTATTGGTTCCAAGCAACCTGTATGCTAAATGATAAAGCCTATAATTTAGACTGCATGAGAATGAAAGAATAAGGGTTAGAAATTACCATTTTCAACATCAATGTCATTATCATAGTCATAATTTGCTGAAAGTATATCCAGACCTGAGGAAAGGCATGTGGGAATAAGGTGAATTGAATCCTGATGACTGAGTTCAAAGTCTGAAGGGGTCTGATTGGATAGATTTCCATTTTCTTTGCACACAGGTAAAAGCATCCAAAATATAAACCAGTTTAGTTGCAACCCAATTCATTTCAGTGGTTCCACACACCCACTTATGGACTAAACTAAGCTGCCTTTCCTTTGTCCTAGAAGCATTATTCAGTTGCTTAAGAGGAGGCAGAGCAGAAAGGACTCTGGCTATTGTCCCAAAGAGGCTGCTTGGCCTGATGGCCATCATCTCTACTTAATTAATAAGCTCTTTTTACTTTCAGCTCATGCTGCTTGTGTTTGCTTAAATCAGGTGATTAGGTCTAAGAACCCACAGGGGTTTAATTGTAGGTTACATTAGAAGTAGGCCCTGGATGGGGATAGAGTTGACTGGTAGAGCACTTGCCTAGGATGCTGAGGCCAGGAGGTCAATCCCTAGCACAGCAAACAAGAAAGCACCAGAAGCAGGTCCATATGAAGAAGGCCTTGTTAAAAGGGTCAGAAGCAAAAGGCAACACCTTTATCCTAAAGGTAAATGCCCCACGCTCAACTAAGTTGTTGCCATGTTTACTTTAGAGAACAAATTATGGTCAGATCTACAGGCTTTTTGGTTGATCATGTGACTATAATCATAGCTAAACTTATCAAGATGATATAATAAATGATCTGGATTTGAGAAATTGGGTCCAATATAGGAGAGTGGTCCAGAGCACAGACTTAGTTTTGAATCCTGGCTCCTTGAGCTTGGCAAATTCCTTAATCTCTCTGCATCTTAGTCTCCCTATCTGTAAAATGGAGATGATAATTATGTTCACCTGTTGAGATTGCTGTATACAATATAAGTTGGTATATATAAGTGCTTATTACAGTTCCTGGGCATGCAGGAGTATACTAGAAGGGTTAGCTGTTATTATCTTTATTCTTTAGGAAGATGGGGTTAGTGGAACAAACATGGCTTCATTTAATAAAATTTTAAAAATTCTAAGCTGGTGCAATGGTGCATTCCTATAATCCTAGCTCTTTGGGAGATTGAAGTAGGATGATCATAAATTCCAGGCCAGCCTGGGCAACTTAGTGAGACCCTGTCACACACACACACACACACACACACAAAAAAAAAAGGTGGGGGGAGCTATGGGTGTAGCTCAGTGGCAGAGTACCATCAGGTTCAGTGCACAATAACACACACACACACACACACACACACAGTTTCTAAGTGTCCACTGTCTATCAAATGTTGAATTCAGATGTGAACAAGACACAGTCCTCTTTTCAGAGTATGTGGTCTAGTAAGGGAGAAAAACAGACACCTAAATACAAACATTATAATATACACTGTAACAACAAAAATCAACATCAGTTACAGGGGATGAATGGAAGAAGGAGTGATGTACCCTACTTGGGGAAATCTCTAGTGACCTCTGAACTGGGCTTTGAAGGTGGATGGGGTTTGTAAGTGGCTGGGTGGAGAGATTCAAGGCAGAGGACTAAACTGTATAACCACAGACTCATAAAACAATGAATTTGGTTTTGCTAGACTATAAAGTGGTGGGGGATGGAAGGGAGTGTGGGGATGTAAATTACAGAACATTGCATTTGATTTCATTTATATCAGTATTGCAGCATCAAAGTGGAGGAGGCTAGAGACAGGTCAAGAAGAGGTAACTGTGGCCAGAGCAAGGAGAACCTAGCATTTACTTAGTTCAGTTGTGTGAAGGCTGAACTAAGGTACTGGTGGTGGGAATGGAGAGTGAACAAGAGGTAATTAGGGGGTAGGACTGTCAGGACTCGGTGATTGAGTGGATGTGGGAGGTGAGGGACAGTGAGGAATCCAAGCTCATTCCCACATTTACCAGGCTTGACACACAAGGATGCTTGTGGTTCCACCAATGACTTTGTGACTATAGGAAGAGGAACAGGTTTGGGGTATACAAAGGTAAGTTCCATGTTGTACATGTTGGGTTGTTATGCCTGTGGAATCCAGGGGGAGGTGAAGTCCACGGTAATTGCACAACAGAGGTTCTAAGATAGGAATTCACAGGGCTTGTCTGGAGGCACATGCTTGGATGGAACCTGGAGGCTTAGAATAAAATATTCATCATGGCTAACATTTCACACGTACCTGTTATATTCCAGGTCGTGCTAAGCACTTTATAGGCAATGCTAAATCAGAGATCATATTTGTTTTGTAATCATAGTGGACATATAATAATTATCTTGTCAAATGAATTCTCTCATTTAATCTTCACGACAATCCTATGAGGCAGACATTATTAGTATCCTCATTTTACAGATGAGGAAAATGATCTAGGAAAGCTTAAATAAGAGAGATTTGAGATTTGAATCTAGTTCTTTGTGACTCTTGCTGGCAGCTGGAAGTGCTTAATTACATTATCAGAGTGCTTAATTACATTATCAGAATGCTAAAATCAGTCCCTACGATGTATTTATGTGATCAAACCTCTTTGGGATTGCTTCCCATGCCATATAAGAGGCGGGCTTAAAAAAAAAAATCTCAAAGCTACTTTTCAATTTCAAAACTCTGATGACATCCAATGACTGCTATAGAAATGCACCAACGGGGCCAACAATGCCTCATTCGATGCTTAGCTAGCAATATTGGCTATGCTCTGCTTTGACACTCCTTGCATTCCTCTCTTGGAGCCTTTTTAGAGTGGAATGCCCTAGCAGTGTATGCAGCACTATGTGGTGTACCAAGCAAGCATGGCGAGGTTGGAGTGCTTCGTCCCAGGTGCAGGCAGTGATGGTGTATATTTGTGTTTTGTTTTCCCTTAATAATCCCCACAACTACTCTTTAAAGAGGTTTCTGTTATTATCCTTAGTTTTATAGGTAATGATTCAGTGTAATCTGCTCAACATCATCCAACTGGAGTGGCAGAGCTGGAAGTGGAGCTCCTGGCAGCCTGGCTCCAATGCCCGCACTCTTTGCCACTAGTAAGGAGAAACAAAGCAAAAGCAACGTCTCCAACAACCTTGCAGACCGATGGAAACCCTCCGAAGTGGCTTGAGGGTTTCTTGTCACTCCTGACCCGCTCCAACTGGCTGCCGGGCAGAGGGAGAACTGGCTTTCCAGAAGCCTCCCAAAGGGATGTTGGGGCGCTCTCTCAGCTCGGCGTGCCCTCCTCCACCCTCTCCGCGCCCCCGCATTCGTCCGCTAGGCCAAGGTTTCTCCAGGCCCTTCCCAGCTTCCGGCCTTTTGCTCCAGGCCAGGTCGCTGGGGCAGGCGGTGTCAGGAGCTCCCAGTCCTCTATTTACTGTTTGGTTTCCACGGTGACACGTAGGCGCCGTCAGCGCCTCCCGTCAGCGGCCCCGCAGCGCTGCCCCCACCCGGCGCCATGACGTCTGCCCGCCGCTTCCGCTCTGCCCATATTTGGCGCAGCCGCGGCGCCGCAGGTCGGGAGGAGGCTGGGAGCCGGACTCCCGCTGCGCCCCGCCCCCGGCAGGCCACGCCCCCGCGGAAAGCGGCGGAGGTCCGGACGTCTCCGCCCGCTTTCCCCGAACCGGAGCGGAGGCGGGGCGGGGGCGCTGGCACCCTGGGACGGGCCACGGTTCTTGTGGCTCGGCTCGTGGAGGGTGCATTGCAGACCTGGGGGACTGTCCGGTCTTCCTGGTGCGTGATCTGGGGTCACAAGTTTTTACTGTGTATGCTCGGAAATCATGGGAACAGCCACCCCCAGCCTGTGTTTTGTACACTTGAATTTAAAATTCTTGCGCATGTCGCAGTGGAAAGCTTTGAAGACCGAGGTTCAGTATTGCTCCTTGGGGGATAAGTGACCTTGGAAAGGCCAGTTTCCTCTCCCTGGCCTGAGAACTGTGGGGGTGGGGTCGTAATGTTTGCCGCACTGTCATCAGGCTCGTGAGTGATCTTCCATCAGTTTCTAAGGGCCCCCTCCCCGTGGCATAATTGGAGTATCGTTGGCGTTCTTTGAGGACCCCTACCGTTCTGATCCGGGCAGTAATTGGACTTGTGTGGCTCTTTGCGCTTTGCTTACATTAAACGCTTAATTAACTTGAGTTACCTGGTGATTGAGTGAATCCCAGGCAGGTTTCACCTTCATAAGTCCGGATCCCCGCAATTCCTCTTACAGGAGGAGGAATATTGTGATGATTAATAATCGCGCCGCAGGGTTGCTGATGTAAAGCGATCTGCAGATGTAAAGGGCAATAAACATTCCTGAGAGGAATCCAGCGAGATTCCAGAAGTCTCTGTGGAACCGTGGGTGTGCACCGCCTGGCCCTGAAGGGGGAGGGCGGGGGCAGTGCCGCAGTGGCCACTGCTGGGCAGCTAGTTGCAATCCCTGGAGATGACTGGGGCCAATTCTTCGTGATGTCCGCTCCCCCATCCCCATCCCCATCCCCTAGTTCCTCTGGCCAAAGGAGCATTTGTTTTTCAGGATTTCAGCACTGGAAGGCACATCAGAGATTATTATTTCACAAATAGGGAAACCAAGGCTCATAGAAGTGGTTCACCCATTCAAACTTGCCCAGCTAGTTAGGAACGATAAAAGTCAAATTTCTGGCTTCAAACTGTGTCTTAGGTGATTCTAAATGTGTTCCTGTGGCTTCAGTACCCTGTGGCCTGGCTTACTTGGTAGGATGTAGACTTGGGCTAAATATTGACTTCAGTAATATTTAACCTAAAGGATGCCACTAACACATCTCCTGCCATACACAGCTGGCAGCATAACACCAGGGATGGGTGGTGGCCGAGAGGTATGTACTCCCTAAAGCTAATGGCATTCCTCCTTATCGTGGCTGGACTGGCTGTCCAGAGAGAGACCCTGGTCTAGGGAGTTGGCTGTTCTGGAACCAGTCTTGGACTAGCAGTTGATCACTTTCAAGATAAGCATTAAACTCTTCGAAACCAAGATTGCAGCAGGAGGCTGGGTGGACAGAGTCCCTGTAAACAAACCCTGGTCCTGCTGATTGGAAAATCTTTTCATGTGCAGGAGGTCCTGGTGGTGCGCGCCTCTTCTTTCGTCTCCCTCTTTTCCCTTTCAGCTTCACCCAGTTTCCTCTCACACCGTCTTTCTTCTCTAACCTCCAGGCTGAATATGAAGGCTGCTTACACCGAGAAGACCGGTGCCCACCAGCTGCCGGCCCCCTGACCAGTTTGAGGAGGGGTCTGAGATCCTTCGCCTACGCTGATCCTAACTCGCAGCGATTAGCAGCAGAATAGCAGCTCTGCCACCTTGTGGTGGCGCGAGGCAGCGCGCCCTCCTCCGATTCCAGAAAGGTCCCCATGACGCTGCAGCCTGAGGCAGGTTTTCATTATTCACCCTGGTGGGCAGAGCGACACTGGAAAGACAAAACAAACAAGACCACAAGCCGATCTAGTGTTTCCTCCCTCTGGTTCATTTCTGAGGATCTGGTCGATGCGGATGCAGGAAAACATTCTGCAGTTTCTCTTGCTAGGACGGTTTTTTTTTTTTTTTCTTTTAAATCAAAACCTAGCCCTGCTTTCAAACCCTAGTTTAAACTCCACCTCCTTCAAGATAACGTTTCTGACTCCTCCCCCGGACATCTTTTGAAATTCGTCTGTACACAGATCCAACACACAGCATGGACTAATCTGCTGTCATTTTTACAGTTATTTCCTTGAGGTCCTTTGTGTCCATAGACACCATAGTGCTCAGCCACAGGCCAGGGAACAAAAAGAGCTCTTAATTTCTATTTCTATTTCTTCTTCTTCTTCTCTTCATTTGCAGTACTAAGGTTCTTTACACTGAGCTGTACCCCAGCTCTTATTATTATTATTATTATTATTATTATTTTGCTAGGCTGTTCTTGGACTTGTGATCCTCCTGTCTCAGTCTCCAGAGTAGCTGGATTACAGGCCTGCAAGCTCTTGCTTCTTAATTGATTAATTTCTATAGATACAACTCTGAGCCTTTGCTTAGAAAAACTTTCTAGAACTCTTAGTTCTTTGTGGGAATCTAGATAATGATCTAATCTAATGTGTCCTTGCACAATAAGTAGTTTCACAAACCAGTTTCACAAGAGAACACCAAAACCACCCAGAGTGGGATGAGGAAGTTTGAAGTTTGAAGCAGACTCCCAGAAGAAGGAGGAGAGTGACAATGTGGAAAGGTCAAAGGAGGAAGAATTGGTGGTGGTGGTGATCCTCTATCTCTGAGGTTGGAGAAAGGCAGCATAGGCTCTAGAGCCAGCTTTATGTCCAAACATTTGCTGTGTGGCATCGGGGAAGTTAATGCTCCTCTCTGTGCCTCAGTTTTCTTAGGGCTTTGAATTGAATTTTTATTTGTAAAGTGCTAGAATAGCACCTGGCCAAAATAAGTGTTATATAACTGTTTGTAAATGAATGGGGGAAATGATATATTCTGTGGGTTCCCTTCTGCACTGTTCTTTTGGGGTGATGCCTGAGCCTTGGGTCAGGCAGGTCTGATTGACTCTTATCTCTGTCTATTGCTGTGGACCTTGGGCAGATCTCTCTTCTTTTTGGAGCCTCAGTTTTGTCATCTGTGAGGTAGGGGTAATTATGTCTCTCTCCAAGACTGTTATGTTACAGGTTTGGAAAATGCCTGGTGCCTGAGGCATAATGAGCAGGAGCTAGAGTATTACCTCGGATGAGAGGAGCACCATAGAAAGGGGAATTGAGTTTCCAAAATTTTTGAGGTTAAAAAAAGCGATTGAATTTGCCAAACAGCAATAAGACCAGGTGAACATACAGAGCTGGGGGCTGGGGAGGTGGGCCCTGGGCCTGGGCCATGAGTCATTATCACAGCATCTGAAACACCCAGGAATGGCCCGTGCATACTCTAGGAACATTTTCTGCTCCAGGGCTGTGCTGAGGGTGTGGACCCTGTAGGGCTGGATGCCAGGAGAGGTAGGCCCTCCTGCCCTCCTTCCCAGGAGGGGGCTGTGGCAGGAGAGGCTAGGTGCTGGCAGGTCTAGGAAACCTGTGGTTGTTGTATGTGTGCATGAGGGGCCTGTGTGTGGGAACAGCCCAGAGCCGTCCTGCCCCACCTGGTGAACTCCTAGGCCTGGCATCTGCAGCTGCCAGCCCTGACTGAGGACACCCCAGATCAGCTGTCAGCAATTATTGAAGGGTTGGGGGAGGGAGGGTTATGAGAATCCCACGGATCTTAATTCCCTTCAACTACATAGGTGGAAAAGTACTAACTGGGCTGTATATTTCTTTGAGTTCTTTTCAAAGGGGAAGCTGGGTTGCGACATCAACAATAGGGTGTTGCAATCCCCAACATGTCGGGAATCACACTTAGGTCCCCACACTTGACGGCTCTTGTCCTCTGTGCTTCAAATCAGGCCAAGGACAGGGGCATCTACCGCTAAGTAATCTGTTATTCAGGCTTCCAGACAATCTGAGGCCCTGACAAACCACCTTTGGATTTTGGGGATCACAGAGGACTCTGGAAGCCTCCTTCCATATGCAAATTTCCAGCAATAGCATCAAAGGTGGACCCTGTTGAGAAGACCCCAGAGTGGGACTGTGCCTCAAAAATGCCATAGAGTATGAAGGGTCATGAAGGTGCAAATTTTAATTGTCCCTGGGGAGAAGGGAATGTGCGCTTATTTTCTTCTTTTTTTGCTTCTCAGTACTTTCTGATTTTTTTTTCTTATTGTTTCTGGCAAGCACATATTGCTTTGTAATAAAGAAAAATATTTTTAAAATGTTCTCACCAGAGCAGTATGTCTTTCTTTCTTTTTATTTTTTTAGAGATAGATAACAGAACATAATAAATGGGAAGTTGCAAACACCCCCTTGTTTTTAAATTTTTTTTTCTCTTTGCTTTGCCCTTTCTTTCCAAAGGAAATAGATTTCCTGGTAAAAACCTTTGAAAATGTTGGACAATAAAAAAAAAAAAATAGAGAAGTGGGGCAAAGTGGTACATGCTTATAATCCCAGCTACTGGGAGGCTGAGGCAGAAGGATAGCAAATTTGAGGCCAGTCTTGGCAACTTAGTGAGACCCTGTCTCAAAATAAAATAAAAAGGGCTGTAGCTCAGTGGTAGAATGTTGCTGGCTTCAATCCCCAATACCACAAAATAAGTAAGTACATATATAAATAAGAAGAGCAAGGAAAAATGAACTGTGACCCCCACCATGGTGAGAATTACTGTCAATAGTTTTTATTCTAATTTTCCAATATGTACTTTTGTTTTATACTTTATACAATGTAGTTTTTACAACAATAGAACCACGCTGTAATACTGTTTTGTAATCTGATTTTTAACAGAGTAGATAATATTTTTCTATACAATCACTTTTTAGGTGTTTTATGGGTTTCTAGTTACAAATATCCCATTTAACCAATCTCATCGTTTTGGACCTTTGGGTAGTTTCTAAATTTTTTGCTATTATAGACATGCTGCAAATATCTTTGCAGCTAAGTGTGCATAAAGTAATTCCAGATTACTTTGTTGGAAGTGGGCTCATTCTTTAGGCTTTTGGAATGTAGCTGTGTAATCAATACATACAGTACCCCATCATACCATGAGCAATCCTTATTGAGCATGGCTAATCTGAAATCTGAAATGCTTCCAAATATGAAACTTTTGAGCAGCTACAGCTGGCCACAAGTGGAAGATTCAACCCCAGTCCTCAAGTTGGGTTGCAGTCAAAACACAGGCACACCGCCTCTCCCTCTGGAGATGGCCCACCTCCTCTCTCTTATGTGGACTCCTTGCTTTGCCCCCAAGATCTCTCTCTTTTAAGATTGCTTCCATTTTCCCTTGAATAGGTATCAGTTTTCCTAAGTAAATCTCAGTTTATGCTTTTAGAAAAAAGATTGTGCAATAAAAAGACTCTGAAATTACCTTCAGGCTGTGGGTACAGGAGTTTACAAAATGAAAAGGAATTTTGTGCTTGGACTTGGGTGCATCCTTAAGATGTCTTATTATGCATATGCATATGTTCAGACATTGAAAACACTGCTGGTCCTAAGCATTTTGGGTAAGAATACTCCACCTGTATCTTCTTGCTCTTCCCCTTTCTCCTACAGACAGGGAGAGGAGAGAGCAGGCTGGGGAGGCAGGGGGCAGAGGGGATCTCAATGGACAAAGGAGAAATGTTAAGGGAACCAAGTACCAGTCACTGTGGGGCCTGGGAGGCCTCCTCTCTGAGGTCTGAGGTGGGCTGTGTCCTCTGGTCCCTGCCCCCCATGAACCTGCTGCTTTCTGCCTTTCTTAAGGCCTCACCTTGCCTCGTGCCAGGCTGATCTTCTTTCAGTTCCTTGAGTGCATGCTCCATGTTCCTCTCTGCTCTGTGGCCTTTTACATTCTGTCCCCCTGCTAGGAACTCAGACTCCTTTCTAGATAACTCCTTCAGCTCTCGGGGCTAGAGCTCGCTTCCTCCAACAGGCCTTCCCTGGCCAGTCTGTGTAAACCAGGACCCCCTGGCCTCCCTTCCCTGCCTTTGCTCCCTCAGGGTCCCCGTCTGTACCTGCACAGCAAGGTCGGGGCTTGTAGTTATGTGTATTTGTGGGTTTATACACCCTTGGTGATCCCACTAGGCTGAAAGCTCAGGAAGCAAGAACAGGGTCTGTTTTTTGCTCACTATTGTAACCCAGGTGCCCACACATAGTGGGCGCTCAATGAGCACTTACTGAAATGGAAGAAGAATAGTTCATTTGTGACTCCTACAATGCTTCACATCCCCTTCCGCGCTCTAGTTCCACCTGGATAGATGCTGGTTGCTTGGTTGCAGGAGCAGGTTCCAGGGCTCAGCAAGACCTTCTCTTCTTCCAGGAAGGAGTCCCTACTCTTGTTCTAGGGGTTGGACCCAGAGGCACTTTACCACTGAACTTCATCCCCCAGCTCTTTTTATTTTGAGACAGGGTCTTGCCAAGTTGCCCAGGCAGGCCTTGAACTTGTGATCCTCCAGTCTCAGAGCCCGGAGTAGTAGGGATTACAGACAAGTACTAATGTGCCAGATTTGCGGCTTCCCTTTCTAAGACTAGACACTTTGAACCAGTGCTTTTCAAACTTTACATATTGATTTATTTTTGGGAAAGGGACTCAACCATTGAGCCACGTGCCCAGTCCCTCTTCTATTTTTATTTTATTTTTAAATGTTTGAGACAGGCTCTCGCTGAATTGGTTAGAGCCTCGCTAAATTGCTGAGGCTGCCTTTGAACTTGCAATCCTCCTGCCTCAGTCTCCAACATTAATATGTATATTAATTAGCTCCGATGTTGGAGGCCTGGGGCGGGTCTGAGATTCTGCTTCTCTTACAAGCTCGGGTGAATGCGGTGGGTCCCAGGACCGCACTCCGAACCGCGAGGCTTCCCCGCCATAGCCGGTTCTCCGCCTCGGCGATTTCCACGCTTAAGGTTGAGTCCCTGCGCCCCCTTTTGGCCTCTGTGAGGTACGACAGTCTCCCATCGGACTGGTAAGGACCGCTTGCAGGGGTCTCAAAGTGCAAACTCCGCGGGGAACAAGATCTTCTGCTAATGTATGTGGATTCTAATAGCGTTAGGAGACGTTGGAGCGTTGACCCTGTAAAGGATGGCTGCCATCCTGGGGAAAAAAGGAATTCCCAGAACTGAAGGATGCTGGGGTTGAAAGGAACCCCTAAACTCATCTAGGGAGCAGTTTTGTTTTCCCTTGGCGCCTGTCGTTTGCTCTTCTAACTAAAGATTAGACGTGTGTGTGTGTGTGTGTGTGTGTGTGTGTGTGTGTATCCATCCCCCCATCCCCAGTACTGGAGATTGACCCCAGGGACACTTTGTCACTGAGCTACATCCCCAGTCCTTTTTAGTATTTTATTTATTTAGGGACGGGAGATTGAACTGAGGGACACTTGACCACTGATCCACACCCCCACCCTGTTTTGTATTTTATTTAGAGACAGGGTCTCAGTGAGTTGCTTAGGGCCTTGCCAAATTGCTGAGGCTGGCTTTGAATTTACAATCCTTCTGCCTTAGCCTCCGGAGCTGCTGGGATTACAGGTGTGAGCCAAGGCCCCCGCCCAGCCTTTTTAGCTTTTAAGACACGATCTGGCTATATTGCCAAGGCTGACTTTGAACTTTCTACCCTCTTGCTTTGGCTTCCTTGTAGCTGGGATTATAGGTGTGCATCACCACGCCCAGTGTAAAAGTTATATATGTATTTAATTGACATTAGTTTACTCAGATTTCCAATGTATTCTTTTCTTCCATTATAAACAATTGTGGTAAAAATACATGTAACATAAAATTTTCCATCTTACCCATGTTTAAGTATACAGCGCAGTGGTATTAAACACATTCATAACATTCTGCAGTTGCCACCATCTATCTCTAGAACTCTTTATCCAAAATTGAAACTCTATATGTATTAAATAATAACTTCTCATTTCCCTTCCCCTCAACCCCTGGCAGCTACTGTCCTACTTTCTGTCCCTATGATTTTGACTACTCTAGGGACCTTGTTTAATTGGAATCATACAGCATATAACTGGCTTATTTCACTGAGCAAGATGTTCATCCATTTTGTAATATGTGTCAGAATTTCCTTCCTGTTAAAGCTGAATAGTATAGACAGACTACATTTTGCCTATTTATTTATCTGTGGTTTTTTTTTTTTTTTGGTATTGGGAATTGAACCCAGGTGATTAACCACTGAGCTACATCTCCAGCCCTTTTAAAAATTTATTTAGAGACAGGATCTTGCTAAGTTACTGAGGCTGGCTTTGAACTTGGGTTCCTCCTGTCTCAGCCTCCTGAACTACCAGGATTACAGGTTCACCCAGCTGTTCAGCTGTTGTTGATGGATGCCTGGATTGCTTTTTAGCTATTGTGAATAATGCTGCTATTGTCAGGGCTGTGCAAATACCTTTTCAAGACCAGATTCACTTCTTCTGAGTGCACACCCAGCTGTGGAATATCTCTCTGGATCATATGTTGATTCTATTTTTGATTTTTTTTTAAGGAACTGCCACACTGTTTCCCACAGCAGCTGCATCATCTACATTCCCACTAACAGAGCGCAGAGTTCTGGTGTCTTCAAATCCTCAACAAGACTTGTCATTTTCTGTAGTTATTAATTTTGGAGGGTTGTAACCTGCCTCCTGGGTGTGAGGTGACATCTCATTGTAGTTTTGATTTGTACTTCCCTAATAATTTGTGATATTGAACATCTTTTTCATGTGCTTCTTGGCCATTTGTGTATCTTCTTTGGAGATATGTCTACTGAAGTCCTTTTGCACACATTTGAACTGGATTGTTTCCTTTTTCTGTTTAATTTACTTTTAGGAGTTCTTTATGTATTCTAAATATTAATTCATTGTCAGATAAGTATGTATTTGCAAATATTTTTTCCTTTTCTTTGGATTGTGTTTTTACTTTTAGTGTCTTTTTTTATATCTGGGATTAAACCCAAGGGTGCTTAACCACTGAGCCACATTCCCAGACCTTTTAAAAAATATTTTATTTAGAGACAGGGTCTCACTAAGTTGCTGAGGCTGGCTTTGAACTCATGATCCTCCTGCCTGAACCTCCTAAATCAAGCCACTGGAATTATAGGCATGCTCCAACATGCCTGGCTTCCAGCACTGTTGGTTGAAAAGACTGTCCTTTCACTGTTCAATGGTCTTGTCACCCTTGTCAAAAGGTTTTTCACTATTAAAAATTATATTTTTAATATGATTTTGACTACTCTAGGGACCTTGTTTAGGCTGATCTGGTCTGGAGGATCC